TTTGTACCTGTGATAATCTGGCCTTAGTTTTGAGCTTCCTTGAAATGATACAAGACTTCTACTTCAAGTTTGAATTGTAATCAGTTTTGCACCTGTGATAACAAAGCACAGTCACGGATGGAAATTGATAAAGGTAACTTACCTATATTCTGATAACCGTAATGATAATTAGTAAATGCTTTGCAATGTGAATATTTTGCAGAATAATGTACAAGTAAATTGAAGTCTACAAATAGTCAGAAATTTAAACTTTTTGAAAAAATTGTACATGGGAAGCTAAAGCTTCGTAAATAGTGACAAAATAATTTGACAACTGATAGCTTGGGTCAACATCAGAAGGTCATTTTTCGAGTTACTGGTAGCTAATAAAGAATCAGAAGGAACTACAAATTCAGGTTATTAATTTCGACGCTAGCTTACTAGAATTAGATTTATGTTAGTTAAGATATTTCAGTGTAATATTTCAAAAATTAAATCTTTTCTGCAGGTTTCTCCTGTAATATCCGGTATTTCCTTTTGGAAAACTGCCCGATAGCAGCATTAACCTTTACCAGCATCCTCGATAAATTTTTAGAAACTATTCAGCGATTAATTTTTTTTTTTCGCTCTATCGAATTACAAATCCCACGCAGTTATTTGTGATAAATGACCTCAGATATGAAGTGACAATTGGTACAAAGGCTGAATTTGGAAACATATCCAGTGAAGTGCATTAATTTCTAATTACTTAATAGAATTATTAAGAATTACTCAAATATCATTTCTAATATTTTATTCTTTATTACTTTTTTTTATATTTGAAATTGAATCTAGCATCATCCATTTAATATGATTAAGCAGTAATGTCGTTTTTCGAATGAAACATTTTATGATGACAGAATTCAAATTTATAATGCCCAAAGTAAAAGCGATTCATTGTCATCACAATATGTCACTTCCGTTCTCCTTTACCATTAAAGTTATTCTTATTTCATTCAAGCAACTTTCTAAATCATGACAATGATTTGGTATGGTTTAACCTCATTAATAGATATATTTGTTATGAAGAAGTACTCCGTAACAAATATATTTAAATGAAATAATTTATTGTCAAATAGTTGAATTAGTTAGAAGATAGTTTATCTGCTTAAGAAATAGTTTGTTTATGCATATTATTATTGTTTAATGCTGAAAGCTTAAACAGTATGATATATTTGAACAAACTTGTAAAAAGTTGGAATGAAAAGCGTAGTTTATGAAAACAAGCTCAATTTTGCTTAACAAATAAGCAAAACTTATTGTTAGAGTTTGAAAAAGTAAGCAAATGAAAGAAGTTATCAGTCTAGACAAAAAAAAAAAACCATAGATTGTAAACATTATATCAAAGATTATTTGCAATTACATCCATCTTGCAAACTGCAGCTGCATTTTCATTGTATATTCTTATGGCCATTTAACATGCTATTCTTACTGCAATTTTTGCAAGGGACGTTCAAGTCACAGAAAAATGATGTAATACTGATTAGCTGAATGGAAATGTCCTTTTAAATTATCCATTTAGTTTTTGCTATTTTTTGTATTCTCTTTTTCTTTTTCTTTTTTTTATTTAACATATCATCAACACTTAGATTAGTAATAATACCGTCCTAATTCAATTCATTTACTGTACTACAGAAATCTGGATAATTTTCATCAATGCAACCAAAACAAACTTTAAAAACAATAAATGATATGCTTTGATAATTTATGTGGAAAGGATTTGAGTTGAAAATGAATCATCATTTCATGAACAGGTGTTCTTCAATTCATCTTATCTATTGTCAGTTGCTGCCATCGTTATTATTTCGTCTGAATCTCATACGATTCAAATATTCTCTTATCATTACTACAATATGCATCCTCTTGGCTTCATTATTTTTGTCTCTTTTATGATGGCATCAATTGCTGAAATTTTGGTATGTTATGGATTAAATTCTCAAAAATTTTTGATAAATTGAATGAGAGGGAAATATTAGCATACAACCTGTAATATCCAATCACATCTGAGTATATAATCTTAGCATACTGTGATTCATTAATTATATCAAAATGTTAATTACTATTGTCTACTTGATGATATCATTTTTATCTCATTCATCTTTTCAACAATATGTTGCGGTGCATATTTTCATATGTATATTCATTCTCTAAATTAATATGAGTAATAAGTATGATAATCTTTAATAAATATGATAGTCTTTTTTATGGCAACCCTTTAAAATGAACAGGTAGGAAGATTATCCTTACCTGAAATATTAATTAAGAAATGTAACGATATATTAACACGAAGAGCGATTGAGAAACGTGGACGACAAATTAATTTGAAATGTCTTGAGAATAAGAAGCAGTTGGAGAAGTGTAACAATCGTACAGCTGTAGATTCTGCCTGGATGGATTTTGAACAAATTAATGCGAATTACTTTACGGTTAGCGTTAAAAGTTTTTTCTTTAATTGAAATAATTTTAAAAAAAAATTTTTTCTAATTAAATGATTAAAATGACCGAGTGTATTGAAATGTTTGTGATTTTTTTGCTGCAGACATTGGATTCTTGCAAGGAAGGAAAACGTAAAAAGCGACATTTTGAATTGACCAGCCATTTCTTAGACTTCCGTCATGATAATCTTGGCTTAAATCATGATCTTAAAAGGAAACTAGATGGAAATCGAGTGAAACGCAATGTACATGGTACTAGTGATGATAAAAATAACCCGGTAATGACTTCCAAATTATTAAAAAATAATATTTCAATAAAGCATTGTTACCTAAGTTACCTTGCAGCAGTAGATTTAAGAATATCGCTTCCCGGGAATTTTACTGATTACGTTTAATCAGTGCATCTAACATTACCTGAGACTGCTCACTTCATTTTATTTTCAGGAAGTCGAGAATGATTATTCCGGTGATTTTAGGCGGTTCAAAAGAAACGAATGTTTGAAAGATAGTGAAAAAGAGAAAACTCGTTTGCTTGAGAAATTCGCAAAATCATGTAAACCTGATACCACGTTAGTTTTAATTTATTATTATGTCAAATTTAAATTTTAACAACATATTTCCAGAAATTCAACAAATCTTTTGCACTGTTATCATTTATGCAAATTATTTTAGGAAGAAGAAACTATTTTTTGTTTAAGTGTTGATACTTTTCTTCTGATTATTATTTCGATCACATATTACAATTTTCATTTCAAGTTTAATGAATAATTTAATTTAATTTATCACTTCAAGCGCTGCTGATGAGAAATTCATCAACTTCCCATTATTACCATATTTAAATTATCAACTCCATCTTACATTCTGTCACATCCCACATTTTTGCAGTTTAAAATTTTAGATTTTTCTAAATCCTATTTAATGATAATTAGAAGTGATAAATGTGAGTATGTGGTAGATAGTGTAGGATGGACTTGAAAGACTAGTTGAAATTTTACAAATTTCTGTTCTTCACAAAGAATGCTGAAAAATATCAATTCCAGTTGGCTTCAAAAATTTACACATTCACAAAAAATTTACAAAAAAAAGTGAATTCCAAAAACATTCAAAAATCCACTCGGCAATGAAATTTCCTTCATAAAAAAATTCCTAATTTTCCAAGAGAAATGATTGATTTTTTAAAACATATATTTTTATTCCTTCCAGTCATTCTACCACAATGAAGGAATTAACAGTTAACTTTTAATTAAGCGAACTTTTATCCTTGCTACTCAACATTGGTGAATGAAGTTCTTTTTTCCAGATATGATCGTGGTAAGATGAGTAAAAGTTGCAAGGATAATTTGGACAAATTATCGAAAGCAAGATACAGAGCTTATAGCAATTACGTGGGATATTTCCGACTTTGTTACGGTTCTATTAGTTAAAGTTATTCGTCACATTAATTAACAGAATATAATTTTGATGTCTTTACAATCACAGTGTGCAAAATAAAGTGAAGTCTTTATTCCGGATTACATTAAAGACTAATATTTTTAGATAACTGCTGATAAAATGTCAGGTGTAAAACCTTGGCAATACCAAACAAGGCATAGGACGTATGCAGAAAATTTCAAGTAATGTTGACGTACATGAGCCAAATGTATTGTGTCATTGACAAGATATAAGACTGTTTTTTTATTAGCTCAATTTATAACTACACAAAAAAATCATCTAAGGCATGACGGACGAGTCGAATAAAAACCTGCAAATTTAAATTTCATGTAGAAAAATTACAATATGGCATCAGGAAAAAAGAATGGAAGCACAGCAAGCATATGATTTGAAGAACAGAAAATATAATTCGATGACCCTTTTCAAAAAAAAAGAAAAAAAGGGAAGGAAGAGAAAAATAAAGAAAAAAATAGTACAATTCTACAGGTGAACAGATGACGATTTAATTTAATCAATGAAAGGGTGTGAGAAGGAAGGAATAGCTTCAACCCATACACATACATATTTAGGTATATGTAAGTAAATATTGTTTTAAATTTGTGAAATATAGCAATTCCTAAGTTCATTATGTATCTGTCTCATAAAAGCGATAAAAATATGAAATTGACAATGATGACATTACCTATTAACAGATTTGAAGGATACTGTGATGGCACATCACTTGAAAAGTGACCAAAGTGAATAATATGACATGACTAGTTAGGATTATGCGATCAGTATGATAAAAACCTGATGAAATTAAGCTAAAAGTATGACTATGTCTGAAACTTAGAACTCCTGCTTCTAGTTATCGATCTCCTCCTAAGCTGAAGCAGTAAGTTACAGGAAGACGAATAAAATATCTTAATAGATGCACTAACAAATTATTAACGAAAACTGAAGTTAACAATCTTCAACATTTAGCATAAGTACAGTCCAATTTATAGAAAATAAAACTAGGAAAGGAAGACCTTAAAGAAAATAAAAGTTATAATCAAGGGGAAAAAGAGAAATAGTAAAAGCATATGTATATTATACACATATAAATTTCACGTTTTCTTGCGCTATAACTATTTTTATCTCAAGAAAAAATGAAAAAGAATCAGGAAGCAGACTTTTCGCTTATTTTTTCCAAGACAATAGCAACACGGCAAGGAATATATACACAAAGATGATTCCGTCGATTTGCATAACCTTCCGGGAAAGTAAAGTAATGCTGATTTTTGTCCAATCGATTAAAACCACCAAATTCGGAGTCATCACTATTTAATGCCAGTACATACCTCAAAATATTTCATTTGGTGTCACCACCATTGTTCCACATCAATTTCAACTTTTTAGATCAAAAAGCTGTTAGAATTAACTTGCTCTTTGGGAAATCAGTAAATCCTTGTTATTACCATATTCTTATTTCTAATTCTCCACAGCAAGCAAATTTATGAAATTAAAATGTCCCCAATGATAACTCGGATAAGCTTCCACCTTTTCCTCCAGCCTTTTTCTATATATATGAACTATAGGCAAAAAATTTAAAGAAATGCGACACATTATACAGCATAAAAACTTACTCCCCCGCTACTTCGATACCAATTTTATAATCCGAGTAACTCTTGTGCGGATGAAAATTGAAAATAAAGAGAAGACCAGCACGTTCGAATGCTATCACTTTATCATCCTGATGTTTCCACGAAGTGTATGCCTACAAAATTCTGCATCATACTATTAGTAAAGGGATTATTCACTTAAATGATCGCTTCATTTGAATGCAATTGAATCCGATATAGTACTAAATTTGGTACCTTAAAAGTTATTTACTGAGTTTCAGTTGCTAAAACATTTATTCATACCGGCCCGCGTGATAAGAAAAGATGCTTCTCTTCCAATTCATTCATGGCACGATCAAAATTATTTAAATATTTGTATCGAAGAAGCTCATTATCTACTAAATTCCACTGTCTTCGGCAATAATGAAATGATTCGTTGTTACCCACACGTGGAAAATCAAGCCATTCTGGGTGACCAAATTCGTTACCTGAAAAAGAAAACTGGATGGAATAAAGCTATGAAGGGAGAATTTAAATTCCAATAATAACTACTTTGGACTGTACTGCTACCTGAGATAAACAATATAATACAACTTTAGTAGAACTAACTTATGGAAGAACGTACAGGACATCATTAGATTTCAATTCATCTGTTTTTTGCTAAAGAAATTAAAGATGAAGGAATTCCATAGAACTTGAGCATAGAACTTGAAGGATAAATTAAATAAGATAGCTCATAATGGGTGACAACTTGTGAATCATTAGGACACGAGAATGATCAGATAACAGTAATACTTTTGGAAAGAGGACAAACACGTGCCGTATTTATAAGAGTCTACCTTTCAGAAGAAAATTTTCGTCACAATTAACTATTTACTTATTATTCTACAAGCTTATTTAAAAGAAATTTCTTGTTAAGTAGCATTTTTTCCAATGCAAAAAAGCACTGCTAAATGTTTCAACTCTTTACAAATAGTTTACTTGGGGATTTTAAAGATTTCAAGTTTTTCAGGAAAAAAGCCGACAAAGCAGTTAAAAAAGACCAGGTGTTTAGTCCCTTCCACATATTTTCCGCACTGGAACAACTTCCTATTAATAAAAGGTGGATGCACTGTTGAAAGTTGAACTGAACTAGCTGAGAGAATAATCGAAAAAAAGTTAAACGTTCTTTGAACTGCATAGCTTTCGTAATTCCGATGTTTTCTTACCGAATAATTCGTTACTGCTAATAGCTAGAAATCAACAGATGTTTAAAGAAGTTTAATTGAACGAAATGGCCAATGGATGTCACCCAATCAGCATCACCATCAAATATAAGGTCAACATAAGGACATATATATGCAAACAACTGTTTTTACAACCAGGAAGTGCCTAACATAACGTGAACGCGATGTTGATCCTAGTGAAAGGATAAGATTAACCAGTGATCTAAATCCAATTGGATCAATAGTGGATTTTGGAGAAGCCTAAAATTTCGAAAGAAAAAAAAACCTTACCAATAAAATTCAACCATGCTTCGCCACCTAATCCATATGTGATAAGACGAATCATTTTATGCAATGCTATACCACGCTCAATTATTGGGGTTAACGGTGTTGTTTCAGACATGAAATCGTACATTTCTGAAAACTGTTCGCCTAATTGGCTATGAACAACAATCATTGTCGAATGTTATTTGGAAATATTTTTTTCCCCAACAATTACAAATTGAATTTTTTTCTTTTCGAATATCTTCTACAACAAATAACTCAACGTGTCAACATTTGTTAAAGCCGAAAGAATTAGAAGAGTTGACCTTTATCCATCAACCAGAACGCTATCGTCTTATCACCAACAAGGGCTTGATCGTGTGATTCTGCATATGCAATATGCTTCTCAGCGTATCTGGAATTGGTTAACAGTTGTTAGAAGTGTTGCAGGTTAGGAGCACCGCAATAATAAAGGACAGTACCCAGTAACAAGTAAACTTTGAACCTTGGGATTACCTTCTATTTTCCAGTGTAAATACCAAATTAGAAATATCCCAGTCTTCATCTGAGAAATGTTTGAGAAATTTAATCCACAAATCCGGTGCTGCCATTGCTAAGCGATAATCGAAACCTTGTCCACCTTCTTCGACTGGTCGACATAATGCTGGCATGCCACTTACTTCCTGAAACGGAGAAATTATTAAAACCTGAATGCACTGTTAGTTTATTCAAGCAGACAGCAATTATTCGCATCATAAAGGAAAAATGTAAATTGCTAAAGGTTCTTTCCATCTGTAAATACCAAGGGAATCTGATTTTAAAGGAATGAAAAAATGAAAAAGGAATAAGAAGAGAATCCTTATTGAAATCGAAGATTTAATTGTAAGGATATCTTATGAGCAACTATATAAGCAACCCAGAACAACAGGTCAAAAAGTCTAGTAACTTATCTCCTAGCTGCAAAGCAAAAGTATGAAACGTTGTGCTTCTATTCTCACCGTTTTCAGAGGAAATTTTAATTTCAGCTGAAACGGCAGCGATAAATGATCCAAGGGTCACAGGTTTAATGACTCAAGGATCACAGGCTTGCTAGCAGGATGAGAAAGGTTATGGTAGGTCGGCAATTCATCCGATGAATTGTATGCAAAGCAATCAAGTTAATTCCATAAATTACAACATCGACTATTACTTCAATTAAGACTTGATGGATTTAAAAATCGGACTACATCTATACATAGCAATGTTAAATTGAACTAACTTCAGCAATCGTCACGATATGGGGGAATCTGCGATGCAGAAACGAATTTGCAAGCATCAAATAAACAAGTGAGTCGGTATCAACATTCAGACCGAAATACATGTCATAACCACCATCTAATGCGTCGGCTGAAATTACAACCATTCTTCTACTGATTACTGAAATCTAATGATGAAGCGATCATTTGATTTAAATTGGAGATTCAAAAAGTGAAAATGAAAATTTAGAAACTAAAAATACAAAAATTTCAAACAGTCAATAAAAGGCATAAAAGATTGTCGGGGTAAAATGATTCTTCGACCTTTTTTTAATTTTTCCAGTCATTAGAAGGACAAACTATACATTGAATTTAACATTATTTTGTTACTAATTGAAAGTGAAATCCAAAACAGTAATTTGATACATAATGTCAAATTTCATGTATAGACACAATATAAAGCAGAAAATAAACAGTAATTCAAAACAGTAATAACAGTAATCTATGCGAAACACTGAATTTCTTCAGTATGCCTGAAGGACATTTAAAATTTCGCTGTCCTACATTCCCAAACTTTTTTGTTTTATATAAGCTTTTTGCTTACAGAAACAAGAGAAATGCTATTATATCATTAACCGTTACTGTCTAAAGCTTTTGCGATAACAAATTTTTCTGAAAAATACACAGAGGTTCACTGTTGTGAGGGAGCCGTAATAACACTGACACAACAATACAATTTTCAGGAAATCCCAACTAGTCAAGATACTATCCCGTATTGATGCCATAACATTCAAATCAGTAAAAACCTGATTAACTTGCAGTAACAACTTCTGAAACGTCTCCACCTCATACATAATTCACATATGGTTATATTCGGGGTACAACCGTATTAAGATACAGCTTGTATTAATTAACCAAAGAATTTTGAACTAAACATGTAAAACGAGCATTTTCGGTCACTAAAACTCACAAACTTAACTCCAGTTTTCATAAAATTCATAAAGTATTTCAGTCTATCATTTACCAATTCCATGAGAATGGTATAGCATCGATGTTACGCCATCAAATCGGAATCCATCAAAGCCGTATTCTTCAATCCACCATCGAAGGTTGGAAAGTAGGAAGCGGAGGGTTTCGATCCTGAAATTCATTAACTTCAAATTTCAGAATTAGAAGCGCTTTTATTAACTCACAATTAATTTATTCAAAAAGAAAATTTGACAAAGACTTCCGAAACTTTCTGCGTGTAATCGAAAAGTCGTGAATCCCAAAGGCTATGATATCCACGGTTATTGTCGTGGAAATAACTATTTTGAGTACCATCCCACTCATTCAATCCATCATCCACATTCTTTGAAGCATGCGAGTGTACCACATCAAGCAAGATAAGGATACCCGCTTCGTGTGCTTTATCAACAAGATATTTCAAGTCTTCCGGTGTCCCGCAACGACTACAAAACACTATTTATTAATGTTTTCGCGTTTTTCTCAAGACAAGTTTGTAAGTTATAATCTCTCTAAACTCAGTCGGAACAATCTTCACTTCTTTTCTCCTAGTCTCCCTACCTCAGTTAAAATATAGTCTACTAAAACGGAAAATTAAATAGCAAACCTTGATGCCGCAAAGAAACTAGTGACCTGATAACCGAAACTGGCGTAGTAAACGTGCTCCATAATGGCCATTAGTTGAATGGTGTTATAACCTGGAACATATTATATGTTATCCGTAGCTGAAAATATCGCAGGGGAAATCTGATGTGAAATGGAAAGGAATAGTACCTTGTTTTTAATTCTTGGAATAACATCATTCGCGAAATTCTTGTAGGTATTGACTTTGCCTTCCCAACTAGATATTCCAACATGTGCTTCGTAAATCCGTAACGATTCTGGTTTTGATGGCCTTGCATGTTTGAAATCATAACGTTCCGATTCTGACGGATTATAAAAAGGCTATAAAAAGGAGTAATAAAATAATTATTAATTTATTTGCTCGTTTGAAACAAACACATGAACTGCAAAACAAAAACACACAAACAAATAACCTCTGCGTCAGCACTAAGCTTCATAAAAAGAATTATTGCTTAACTAGCATTTAATTAAATAGGCTACTAATTTGGAGAATCCAGGAAGTAGATTTTTTTCAACTTTTTTCACATTATTAGTATGCCTTTTACTTGAAACAAAGTAAGGAAAAACAGAAAGATAGCTTACCATATGGTAAACTGTTGCTTCTTTTGGCCGTGTAACATAGTGAGCCCAAGGCGATAGTTTAAAACGAAATATGTTATTTTTCCTTACTGCAACCTGCAAATATGCAGAAAATATTTCTTTAGCTTATGATCATTTAAATTCCATATGATTCCATTCATAATACATTATACATAATATATCATAGTATTGAATTGACATTGGGAATATTATCAAACAAACTATCTATTTCACCAATCTAACTGCGCTATCATCTCAACAAAATTTGAAACGTAAGATGGATCCCAGCATATCACCCTTAATAACAAAAGAAATACCTTGATTATCGATCCATGCTTAATGGGGCAATTACCATCTTTATCAGCTGGAATAATTAATTCCCATTTGCCATACTCCAGTCTCTTGTATGGATGGGATTCAGTGTTCCAATCGTCTGCAGCAAAATAATTACATTCATTAAAATTGTCGAATCAATCACTTTCAATCTTTAATCCTGTTTTTGCTTAATATAATTCCCATTTTTCTTAAAATATAATGAATTTCCAAACTTACTAAAATCTCCCACCAACGACAAGGCTTCTGCTCCCGGTGCCCATTCCAGACAACGAACTGAATTATCCTTCATCACCACAACACCATATTCTCGATAAGCTGTTGTGAATGTTTCCCACCCCCCACACTAAAAATCGCTCTTGAATGTAAACATAAAATTTTGTTGTTCAGAATTAATAAAGTCAAAAGAAATATGCTCTACTGGAGTTAGATCCAATGAAATATACATTCTCATCCTTACATATCACATCGTTATACTGTGCTGTTCATCAAATGTAAAGAGTAACATATTCCATCCAGGCTGATCCAACTTAATAATATACTTTTAAGAAAAATGATTATTGATTTAGGATTTTGCTAGATGTACTACAAAATCTTAACCTCTTCAATTTTCTTCGAGTAGTCAAGGAATACTCCATATCGACGACAAATTTCATTCTGATAATTCCACAGATATCCATCCAACTTCAGCAAATTGTCAAGTCGAGGAGGTCTGCTACCGTTGCCACTCATCGATGATCTCCTGCAAAACGTTACTCATTATTTCTATTGCAATAATGAAATTCATTCATTTCAAATCATCCGATTTTGATCTAAAAAGATATTTTCCATTAAAAAATCGAAGGAATACAATTTAGTACTGAAATGCAAAAAGATCATAGCTAAGCTTTTGAATTCAATTAACTTTTAATCTAATCGAAAGTTTTGATTTAATCAAAACTTTTAATTTAGTTAAAAGTATTTCTTTTCACTGTTTTGTTTCTTTAAAAAAGAAGAAAAAAAGAAACATGCAACGTTTCTTAAACTAAAGTAACACAAGAGAAGAAAGATGAATTTAAGGATTTTGATGCGAGAAATACTTGAAAATATCGATCCATTAGCGCAATAGAAAAGATGGAATAAAAGATTATGTCCGCCTCAAGACGGAGAGAAATCTCTGATTACTTTCGTACCGTATCAGAAATTAACAGGACAGCGGGACCATAACTGGAATATTTCAGGCCAAAACCGGATATCGAGAAAGCTCAAAAGCTTAACATTTACGAAAAAGAAAAAAATGAGCAAATGCTATAAAAAATTGCTGGAAACTTTATGAAACATCAAAATGAATTTTAATATTCTGAACTAACATATACACAGACACACAGACACATACACGAACACACATACAGACACATACACAAACACACACACACAGACACATGCACGAACACAGACGCACACGCACAGACACATACACAAACACACACACAGACACATACAGACGCATACACAAACATACACAGATGACTGTTGATTGATAGCTATTGATTAATAGATAAATTAATAAAAGGAGAGAGAGTGGGGTGAAGTGAAGATGGAAGACAGATCCGCTCCGATGTTTGATGATTGCGCTAAGCAATTGGTAAGATAATGTCAGTGGTCGAAATCGAAGATTAGTATCGAATGTGGCTTAAACAAAGTAGCAAAGTTTAGTATTTCCATTCCTTTTTTGCTTTTGTTTTTCTTTTACCTTTTGGAATTATTTTTATTTACAACAATAACAATGATTTCTAGTCATTTCCATTGTTTTATTCAATATTGCCATCGCAACAACAATTACTATTTCTCGTCCATCGTTTTCTCCTTTTCTTTCTCTCTTCCCCTCTCCTTCGCTGATTGATTTATCTGATTTTTTGAGAAACGAAGAATATAAAATTACAGGAGGAAAACTGAGAAAGTTCTATTCCTAACAATATCAATTTCTCTTCTTATATCGTTAGAAATAATCAATTCGAATTAATTCTGTAAGTTCAAATAAATTCAATTATAATTCAATTAGTTAGAGAATGTGTGGTAAAAAAAAAAAAAAAACAAGCGAAGAAGTGTAATTACTAATTGTAGTAAGTGTAAACAAACGTTGAATGATAATGAATATTGATCAATCAATTCAATCATTTTTATTTCGAATAAAAGAAAGAAAGAAAGACAATTCATTCATTATTGTAAAAATCTCTTTTTTTCTCATATTTTATTCCGTTCAAATTGGAATTCACAAATTTAATTTCATCAGTTCGATCCTTTCCTCTCTGTCCATTTGAATTTCAATACTTATTGTAAGAATTATGTTATATTTCATCTTACAAAATCACGAATTGATTCACTCCAACAAGAAATATTAGTTAAAGTTAATTAGCAGGGCTGTTCGATTTCGAAATGACACTTCAGCAAATGAAGTAATACTTTAATAGCTTCACATCAATAATAATTTATTGAAAGATATAGGAGCGGACAACCATTTTGTAACACTAATTAATTATCAGCTTAACAGATGAAAACTTTGAACTACCCAATGTTTCGCTTTACTCATCGACCTGTTATCTAAAAAAAACAAAATTTCGAAACGAATTCAAAATAAATGAAAGATTCAAATGGGAATATATTTGATACACTTCTTGTCTTTTTTTGTTTTCAATAAAGAAAGTCACTCGACGTGAAGAGAATTTGAAGAAAAAAACAAGTAAAAGTAAGGTTGAAATGCAATACTTAAAAATAAGTTCAAGTATTTGAATTTTAATTCGATACAAATAAGAATTTTAATTTTAGCTCAAAGTTTTAAATGTTGTGGTGTAAGAGATAAGTGATGATAGTGAAGTAGTTCCGTTTACTATTGAACAATTTAAATTTGTAGCATTTCGGCGAAACTTTTCTTGACAGCATCAACAACAAATGCAATAAATGATAAGGAGAATATCATGATTATGCAGACTTCAGATCCAGGAAGAACAGAGATTAGAAATGGTTAATGCATAATTTGTCCTTGTTCCAATTTTTATCAATTAATTTTAATTCATTTCATCAGATTTCTTTGATCAGATTTTCATCAAGACTTCTTGTTTCTCTTCCTAAATTAATATTAATATTACTATCGCACAGATCAAATATCCTACATCAGACAAAAACCAATTTGTGCTATCAATAATAGCTAATTTGAAATTAAAAGACATCTTCCCAGATCTTATCAGTAATCGTGAGTTTTCTAACACTTAAATTTTGATGCTTAAAATCCTGCCAATTAAACAGTACTTGAATAACGAGTGTAGAAAATAACGAAGCAGATGTCACCTTTTAATTATTATTGGAATATTCGCGTACCAGGAAATAGGAAAATGATGAACAGCGGAGTGGTATAGTGCTAATTTCTCAGTACCAGTTAATTGTTGGCCAGGTTAATAATGAATCCTGGGATAAATCAATTACATTCGTCATTAATGGGGACCGAAAAAACGGGACATAACATATCAGATTACTTAAATATTTGAATATTTAATACAGAAATGCTTTAATCATATGCAATAGGGATTATTTTGCAGCATTATAAGAATATTAACAATAATACTGTTCTTAAAAGTAGTCAACTGTACGTTCCATTGATATCGATACCATGATTGTAGGTCAGACCAGGTCAAAAGTTTCGGTCTGGCTTATCTAATTGAAATATATCAGTTTACTTTATAATCTTGAGTGTTACCAATGTCTATTTGGACAATTGCGCTTTATTTCTTTATCTTGCTTGTTTAATTTGCGCTTATCAGCATAAGCACGGAATTATTTGATGCATCAATGATTGAAGAAAATGTGAACATTTTAGTTTCCTTTCTTTTTTGCGATGTTCAATTTTTAAATTTTTTAATGTTTCATATCCTTTCATTACAATCAAATGTTCAGAATTGTAAAACATAGCAATCAATGAAGGAAATGTCAGAAGAAAACATTTAAATACGGTAAATTTGCTGAAACTTTCAAAAGCCCGATCATTTCATTTGCTTAATTTCCATCAAAATTCTCAATATTCTTTGTTAAATTTCCCAATCGTAGTATCATATAGCAATGTAAATAATATCCATATAAAAGCAATTTTCAAAAATTCATCTCATCAGTTTGAATGATTTAACATAAAAGCTGAATGAACACAATGTTTACAACATGTTGTTATCACGCAATGGTACACGTTCATCTGGCGGAATATGTGTCAGAAAGAAAGGACAGTTTTAGTCACTTTTGTCAACCCATTACATCTTATCCATTTCATCACGTCACTATCTATTTCAGTTGACATTTCCCCATCAATTATTCCAACTTTTTTCCTTTTCATTTTTATTTCGCGTCAAATTTCCTGGTGCAAAACAGTAAGCAAATTAATCTCTCAACTGTACATATTATGTTACTTGTATGTCTGTCTGTATATGTTGTCATTATAGATGTCTATGTTGATATCTATGCATATCTCTCTATCTATACGTCTCTCTATATGTACATTTTTGTTTATTGTTTTAAACAATTTCAATGTTTTTGTTTTCCTATTTAAGTACATCCTGTCATTCTCATCTGTTTGTCTCATTGTATGTATGAGAACAGAAAAGTGAATATAACCAATGATACATTTTAAAGGATTTTAAAATGGTGTAATGATGACCTTCTTAGGTAATTGAAATAGTAATGGAGCTTAATGAACTAAATACCGTGAAGTCCTTAAGTAAAGAGAACAGCAGAAGAATCAGAATCCGTTTATTATCAATCGAGCAAGATATAATGACCCTATCTACTCGTGCCGCGGCCGTATCTTTCACTTTCCTTTAGTTTTTATTGTGTATTGACAAGAGAGCCTGACGGAGGTAGGTAAACACCACTTATTTTACAAATTTATCCTCAATTTGAAAGATGTCATATGATTCAGTTAATGAATTGCATATGTCTTCACGCTCTTCTACGTTACGTGATGATTACCTCTCTCTATGATAATATACCCTTCTTTTACTTTATATTAGATATCTCAAACTGCACCTCGAACATGAGTTCTTCATAGTTTTGTTTTTGTAAGATTGCTGAAAGTATCATGGTTGAAGGTTATTCTTTGTTGCTTCTCTCTCTCTTTTTTTCTCCCTCGCTTTTTCTCTCATTTTCTTCTTAGATCATAAATTTGAATTTAAATTGGGGTTTGGATTAAAAAGCCGTTGCTATATTTGTAAGCCGTTGCTATACTTGTAAATGATCCAGGAAATACTATTAGTTTCGAATTTTTTCTCCAGAAATGTGTATATATACACATTTATATGTATATA